GGCTGTCATTCAATTTGATTCTCTCTCTGGCAAGAAAAACTGAAATACTATACTATACCAACTACTATTTCCTTTTGCACTTTCCAAACTTTGCTTCACTGTTTCATGAGACAGCAGGTGACATGGTTCCCTCCAGGCACATCCACGCTGAAGTCAAAACTGGCAGATCCTTGATGTTTTACCGTGCGGAGGTGTGTCTGCTGTGGGATGGAGCCTGCACCTTGATGCCACGCTGAAGCTGTTTGCCTAGCAAAAATGAGCTCTTGCTTAGTTTATCCAGGTAGTTCCAATCTATACCTGTAGTGGAGACAGCTCTTTTACAGACTACTGCTTGTGGAAAGTATTTGGAAAGCTTTTAGCTCCTGCCATAGCCTCTTTGCAAAATACCTGTGTGTGAATTTGCAGTCCTTGCTATAAATCTGGCATTTTAATACTTGAATATGTTACAAGCTTAGTTTTTGGGAGAAAAATGCTTTGCCAAATAATATTGTTAGTTAAATAAAATGTTTTGAAATGCCAACAATACCATTCTCTATTATGCAGCGCTGCATTATTTCTTTGTAACTGAGTAAGAATAGCTGAAAGCAGATGTAAATTGTTCAGCCTAATGCAATTATTTGCGTTCAGTGAAAGGTTGAAAGTAAAGATCATAAAGTGAACATTTAAATCCTTTCAAATTTAATCATATAAGAAGTCTTTAGCAAATGATTTGACCTTTAACAAAAGTTTTTCAATATTTATGAAAACCTGTAATGATATTCTTTCCCACTTAATTGCTGCCTGCACAGAGATAAGCTTTTGTTCTGTTCACGGTCCTTAGGATTCCATTTGAATAACCATCCTCCATTGGGGGGTGTTTGTGGATTTCTTTGAAGTCAAAGCAAATCAGGGAGGCAACAGTAGCTAATTCTGCACTAGTGGTCTTGTTGAATTGTAAACAGAAAAACCCTCTTTTATTGGTTATTTACTTAATGGCAAGTTATACATGCATTCCCTCATACGCAATGTAAATAAAAAGAACAAAATTTGATCTGATTTACTGAAGAACGTTGATCTAAAATGTACATTTTCATCTTATTTAAAAATAGCAGTAATGTAGGCCTCGATTATGCAATGAATTCCACTTACAGCCATGAGAACGAGTACACACATCGGTGTTGATTTTCACAGACCAGCAAACACTGCCAGAAGCTGCAAGCAGAAGAGGGGATATTTAGCCATTAAAAACCAAAATGATAGAGGCTGATGGAAGAGCTGTGAATCTGCCTGAAGGTGGGAAAATCACTTAGGAGCTCGTGTACAGTCCCAGGCCTTCTGCAGCAAGGAAGCAACGCATTCAACTTCACCCCCGGTGCCACGTTTTAATTTCTGCAGCACATTGTTCCTCAGGATCCTCTGGAGTACTTTGGGACCTCCCGGCTCCTGTGATTATATGAGAAGATGCTAAAGCCCAGATGGAGCTGCTCATTTATTTTGCTGCTGCTGACAATGAGAGGTAACAATGCTTGCCGATTTTATTTATAGAACGAGCTGTCGTGATGATTCGCCTGGGACCAGCAGACGCCTCCAACCACCGTGTGAAGCACTGAATGCCCACGGCTCTCCAGGGTCACTCGATATTGATCAGCTAACGCCGTGCTGTGAACAGCTGGTTGGGCTAGATTAGAAGTGTGACCTGGGAGGGCTGGAGTCTAATAAACTAGCGGAGCCACAAGCTGCAGAGACCAAATGATTCGTGTCCTCTGAGCATTCACTGAACAAATACTGTCACCCTAAGAGCACGCAGAACCAACAAAGAGGTTTTCTTTGGAGGCAAAGAGACAGCTGCTGTAATTAGGGTGGGACACAGATGGGACATATTGTATCCAGGTTAACTGTCCCTTATTGCAATATGTCGCTTGCTTTAAATCTAGGTAAGCTGTCTTGTGGTGATAAATATTCAAAGCCTAACAGGAGCAGGGGCTGAAGGCTTGTACAAAGCTTGCTGCCTTATTTTGCTGTCTTCATAGGAGATGCATGGTCCCTCAAGCGTGCAGTCCTAAAATAAGCAATGCTCACCCTTGTGGCGTGTGGCCAGAGGAGCTTTGTTGAAGTACACTGAAGTACGGAAAGACATCTCATGGACAGAGAGCCAGTCAGTCTTTACAGAAGAACTGTGACCAGTGGAGATTCTTAATATAGCAATATACCATTATTCTGAGTTTGATGTTTTAAACGCAAATGATAAGGACTCCTTGCTCAGAAGAGACTGCAGCCTCAAAGAGACAAGACAGAAGAAGAGAGACATTAACCCAGGTTCCCATTACATCGCCCAGTCCTTTGGGCAATTCACAGGTGTAGAAATTGCATCCTCTTTTTTTTTTCCCCCATACATTGTTAGCAGTATCTGTACACATAAGGAAATCATTGATCTGATTCACTTCATCTCCATCTGCATCTCTATACAGCTCTTTAAGTACCACGCAGGTTAATTATTCCACCCCATGGCATATGCAATATTTCCTCCCTTCTACAAATTATTTGGCAAGCGTGAAAGTAAATATATGAAGATGTTCTCTGAGACATCCTACAGCTCATCCTGTTCTAGAGAGATATAGGAAACCCATTTCAAGAACATTAACAGATCCGAATAATTCAGTTTATTCCTGTTGATCTCTGTGAGCTAGAGTGTCTAGAAAAATGCACTGCCTCATACATTAAGCTAATAGGGAAATTTTTCTTGTTATTTAGAAGAAATTGTCAACTAAATGAATATGAAGGCTTGAGAAACTTATCAGAAGCCTCAAAAATAGTTGGTTTCCTCAGTTCATTCTTCTACCTCTGTATTTTGGCATGACTCTATTAGATTTGTCACCGTTTAAGAGTCATGGTTAAATGGAGGAGGACTTTGGAAGGAGGAGTTTGGAAATTGAATCATATATCTCCAGAATTAAGCTAAACAACGCTGAGAAATTCTTCAAGTTGCAGAGGGAAAAAAGATGGAAGCTCTTTTCTCTACAAGAAATGCAAACTTTACAGACAGTAAGAGACAGCTGGCAGTAATCTATTCCAACAGTGTTTTGAGGAGGCATATGTTTATGGCAAAGTAATTTCAAGGCATCACAGAGGATAATCATAGGAGCTATTTTAGTCTCTAATACTTCACAATCTCCATCACCCCAGGAGCCATTAATATATCTGAGTTGTAAACTGTTCTCCAAGTTCCTCTCACTGTTTCTCTCAAACCCGTGAGCGGAATGACTTTGAATGGAGTCGAGTTAAAAGTTTAGTGTTGGGGATTGTACAAGGCAAAAGAAGTGAACATGTCTTAACTTGGAAGAGCAGAAGAAAGAGATATTGAAGAGACATTTGTGTTACACCAAAGCCTTTTTAGTACGAAGAGATTTAAATAAACATAAATGCACTTTAGGGTTCTTTAATGCTGCCAGCATGAGAACCGGGCCCTCTTATTGTACGATGGCTTAAAAGGTTTTAATATAAGTGGAGAAGCTGCACTGAGAGACAGGGTACACTCGACCAGATAGAAAAGGAAGTTATTTTTCTCCCCTCCTACTTCAAACAAAGGTCAGTCATCCAGTCCTCTCCAGTTTTCCATTTTGCTCTGCTTTAGACTTTTCTAGCCACCTCCACCCCCTCGCCAGGCAGGCCTGATTTGCTTTTTTTGCGTCTGACCTGAAACATGCCAAAGCTAACAAACATCCTTTCCCATTGACTTCAGCAACTGCTGTGTGACGTCCTTCAAATACGGTTCTGATCTCCGTCCTGCTGCCTTCGCATCGATACGAGTTCATTCACTGCAGAGGGGTTCTGGTAATGATGCTGTTGGAGAACAAGAACTAAATCAAGGCATCGGTGACAAATGATGAAACCGAAAAAATAAACTTTGGTGTCAGAGATCACTTCAGCGGGGGGTTGCGCAAATATTCTCACAAAAATCAAAGCATAAAGGGAACAAGGAAAATAAACTATCCAGCAGTTGTCCCAGCACTTTCAGGCCCTGGTTACTGCGATCCCATGAACAACAGCGAACTGAAAATATTCGCTAGCATCTCTTTGAACGGTTTAACCAGGTTCAACTATGATGTCCCACTGGCGTGTGATTTCTAGTGTGAAGGAAATCTACTCTATCACCAACAGGTATTTTATTTTACTTTGCTGACCTCGGTGCAGCAGCGTGAAGGCATTTCTTATCTGCAGAAATTCCCAGGAGAAGTTAGGGACACAAACAGCGGGAGGCTGAGCAGCAGCAGGGGCAGGGGAGCAGCGTGCTCTTCCCATGTCCTGTTGGTGGTTCTGATGACAAGTCTTTGGCATCGTGGGATGGTTGCTGAAGCCAAGAGACCATGGGCAAACTTCAGTCAGTTTCTATTTTTGTGGTTTGTAGGGTTTTTTAACAATTTCTTGCTCCCTTTTCTGATAGTGCAAAGCCGCGGCACCTTTGTAGTTGGATCTTTCCTTGTTGGCTTTCCAGAAGAATTCGTTGCTCAGACCTAAGTTCTTATAAGGCTATGGGCTGCCGTTATTTACCATAAAGTGAGCAGAAGTATACCTAATACCCCCACTCCCCTGGCTGTTTTGGCATCAAGGGAGCTGTAGATTAACTTTGAGTCCCGTTGGCTGCTTGACAGTAAAATCCTCAAGAATTAACTTCTTCAATAAATGGGAAAATAATTCAGTACGATCTAGGAATGCCTTGGCATTGCAATATAAGATTTAATAGTAATTCCTTGCACTTTCTGTTCTCCGGATGAGAGATGCTTTATAAATATAAGGGGACATTTATTTCAGAGGAGCTCAGCTTGCTGGGTGCAAAGCATGTCTAAGACTGGAGTGCTCTAGCTGAATGTTTCTGTTCCTCCTGGGGCAAGTACAGTCTCAGAGATTCCCCTGTTCTCAGCTCCACATTATTTCCATTTTGCTAACACTCGTTTTGTTAGGTTGATTCACCTGATTGTAGAGCCATGCTTTAAAACTGAGTCAGCTCTGTTTTGTTGTTTCAAAGGTGGAGGCTATGCTGGGCTAGAGGCAGAGTGGAAACCAGATCTTCTTCCGACAAAGAGCAGCACATAAAAGCAGCCAAGGGGGTAAGAGCTTGCATGATATGTCAGAAATCTATATGATATTTAGATACTTAACTGGTAAAGCGAGGTGGAGGCTTTCAAAGACACAGCTTAGCTTTGAAGGGATTTTGCAGAGCACCTTGGCATATGAGGTGCCTAAATTCCCATTGAACCTCATCGTGGGGCATTAAGCATCTGACAACCCCTTTCTTTTGTAAATACACCCTCCAAAGGTTCCAAATGTATCCCCTATTTTATTTTCTCTAGGTTTATGTGATTTTTTCCTGCATGCACCTACCACATTTATCTCGGTCTGAGGCAGCTAGGTGTGCCTTGCCTGTTGCAAGGCCAGTGGTGTGAGCAACACGAACGCTAAAGAAAATGAATTCATTACCAGCAACTGACAGAGAAAAATGCCAGTCTGCTGGATGGCACTGGTGGTAGCTTTTATTTGCTTTCCAAACATATTTGCACAAAAGCGCTTTGCCAAGAAAGACAGTAAAAAGGCAAAAGAGAGAGAGAGTGTTAAATATAGAATGTATTTCTGCATTGTGCTAATAGCATCATGAGGACGTGGGCCATCCAGGCAACAGCACCAGTCCGTGACGATCTCTGAGCTGAAGCATGTGATATGGACAGCACGGTCTTAAAGCAGTGGCTACAGCAAAAGGTTTGTGACCAGCCAGTTGACAGGGTTGATGTGTTCAAGGAGTGGGTTATGAATATATGATTTCACAACAGCTACGTTCCTAAAAATCAAAGCCTGTACATGCTCATTTGAAAGGGGACGTCAGCTGCATAAACTCCCTTGTTCCTCCAGAACCCTGCTGACTGCTCAGGGTGTGTAGCTTTTCCTTGTTATGCAGCTGGACAAAAAGCAGAGCAGGGCAATGAAATGGTTTGTCACTGTTATGGATGCAGAGGACTGAGAAGGGTGCCCCAAAGACATGCTAAAGCTACGCGTCCGTCTGCCTATGCAGAACTTCTTCCCTGTGATAGATTTCCTTGTTCAATTCCAGCTGGTTTGAGCATTGGGGACCTTGAATCCTTTGGGAATTGTGAATAGAAGGCACCTGACAACTGCATTAATACTTATGCTGGAAGAGGTCTGCTAGTCTTTTAATATGTGTAACATTTCCTATGTCTGCATGCAGCAGGTTATTTGTAGCGGGGATTTAACCCTGGATCTTTTTATGTAAAGAACAAGGCTTTATGTCTGCGGTAAAAGGTTGAGCTGTTGGTTTATACCCCCTCAGACATGTTGGTCACTAGGGGGAGACAGAATCATGCTCTGCAAGTACAGACTGCCACTTCCAGCGCTGCCAGCCCTCACCCCGAGCTGTTGTTAGCAGTAGGTTGTGAAAAATGTTCACATTATTACATTAACAAAACAGTTTCGTTGACAGTGATTGAGCCAATCTGTTCAGCCCTGACAGTGAGAAATCTCTTCTCTGCCTGCAAGAGCAATTTGTGTAATTATACATGTGTCAATGAAATGAGGTAAGGAATAAATCAGTGTCAGGGCACTAAACCACAGCCCATTTCTTCCATGAACCTAGCTGAAGTCTCTTCTTGTATCAACATCCTTTACATTTATTCAGCTTGGTATCTTTTCGCCCTCAAATCTCCTGCTTTTTCCACAGAGGGTTAACATTGTTTTTTTTTTTTCGCTCCAAAAAGCATTTTTCCCTCAGTTACACAAAAGTAATCACCTCCCCCTGCTCCAGTCAGAATATTGTTGTCTGATGCAGCTTTGCCAGGCTCCAGGACAGCAGCAGGATGGAGAGCTGAGAACTGTTGCACCCTTAACCCCCTTTGACCAAGGCAGGTTAACAGCAGCAGGGGTAGCTGTCATTATGCTCAGACATCCTGCAAGTCCTTATTTCTGCAGGCAAAGAGCCAGTGGGCTCCAGACAGTTATTATTCTTATATTTAAGTAGTGTTCAAGGTTTAATGTTCTTGGAACAAGCAACTACTGGAAGATGCAGGCTTATGGAGACCGCAGCTTGGCAACACCTCTGTAAATAGCCCTTTTCTCCTCCTCACCTTCCTTTAGGTGTCTGTGTCATGCCGATAGTGAGTATTGCCAGGGCTGAAAAGCCCTTTTAATTACAAACTCTTAGCCAGGACTGGCGTGTCTTTCTTATAAGATCTAGCAATGGACCCTGATTTAATTTGGTGTCTCTGGTTTCTCCTGTATGGAGAATAACTGTAAAACTGCCATAACAATTGCAGTAGTAATGCTCCAATTATTGTGCAGCTCCAAACAATCATCACCGCGGGGTTTTAGAAGCAGCTCTGGTACAGACCATAATCGTTTTTAAGAAATAGCATTTGATTCTGTGATATGATAGTCAATGGAAGGCTTCCCGGCTATTTTCATGAGGTCTGATCAAGTCTTTTTCCAAGACCATTTGAGCGCCACTTAAAAATATATTGAACAAATGCTGCAATTTCCACCTTGTGCTTAATTCCCACTGAATGCAGGGTTTCACGCCTAACTTGCCTGCGATAAAAACCACCAGTGGGATCCTCTCATACAACACCAAAATTCAGGTGTTTCTTTCCGAATGATTTTGCAGAGCAGAATGTTTTATTTTTAAAGGTTTCTTTCGCTTAGGTAAATGGGTATCCTGCAAATGACAGCGCTTGCTTTCTGTGAACCAAGAGCTGGTGTGTTAAATCGAGATGCTCTCCTCCCCTTCGGACCCAAACAGTAAAACTGCGGGCTGCTTCCCATGCTTTCTTCAGTGAGGATGCAGAATCTCCCCCTGCTGGCTAGGAGAGATGTTGGCTGCTCAGCTCAGGGGGAATTTCTGCTGGCAGCCAGGAGGTTCTGCACCTGCCTGGTGGCAGCTTCCACCCTCCTGCAAACAGGCAGAGAGCCTCGTGTGAGGATTTCTTATAGGCAAAAAACCAGGCTGCATGGCTGAAACCATTTATATGGGTGATTTAGCAGCAGGTGTGGAAGAGGACAGCAAACTTCAGCCTGTACAAACCTTTGAAGCGTGCCAGCCAAGCACGGCTGAGAATTTCCAACCTGTCCCTTTCCTGCATGCTCACAGAGGAGGAAAGCACACCAAAGGTAGAGGCTCGCTTCTCCCAGTGCTATAGCTATAAGAAAAGAATAATCAAGTAACCCAGCTAAGAACCGATCTGTAAGAGAATTGTAAGAATGCAATGGCTATTTCTAGTCGAGGAAGGGGCAAAAATACTCGTGACCCATTGGGGGACTTCAGAAGGAAATTCTGTGCCTCATCACAAAAGATCAGCAAGGCCATTTAGGAGGATGGAGGGGAAAAAAAAAGGGAGGCATTTAGAGAAATAAACATTCTGCATTATAATCATGAGTTTGGTTCTTTTAAAATAAACAAAACAAATAAACAACTGAAGTTCAAAATCCAAGCGTTTAGGAAAGGACTTCTTTTCCCCAGGCTCTGGATTTCCACAACCGAACACTGCTGCTCCTTTCACCTTCCCCTGGGGCACGTGCTCCAGCAGCTGCAGGTTTGGGCAGGGTGCTGAGTTGCTCTCCTGGCAATATTTGCCATCCTGCTCACTTGCTGTAGGTAAAACCCTCCTTGGTACTAAAGACCAGCAGAAGTGCTCTGCTCCTTCCTCTTCCAAGTAAGTCCGTGGTGGACTCACTCGTCTGCATGTAGGCTGAGGTCTGCCCCGAGACAGCACACAAAGGGTGGGAAACACGTTCCTCTGGGTGTCACTTTTAACCCAAAACGTGTTTGAACCTGAAAACAGGACCTGTGTGGCTGCTCAGGGTCTGTCTGAGCAGCTGCTGTGCCAGCCTGTGCTTGGCCTGAGCAGACGTGGCCTGAGGCCAGCAGCACAAAGCACGGTGTCCTCCTCGAGTTTTGGAGGTCCCCTTAACAACTGTATCCTAAACTAGGGGGATTAATGTTTGTAATGAAAAAAAAAATAGTAATTTCAAACAAATCTATAATTTCTTTATCTCTTTTATCTCTTTTTGTTTGTACTGTGCTGAGATGGATGAAGAGGAGCTGTGTGGGCAAGACTTTTGAGACTGCAACTGCTCTGGTTGTCTGCAGACAAAGTACAGCGTGGCACTCACAAGACTTGAATAAAATTTTTTAGTAGTGACACTGAGGGCTTTTGACCAAAATAGTAAAAGCTCAAAGGCCTCCATGGAGCAGGCAGTGATATTTCCACCTCAAAGGCTATCCAAACTCAAGAACAGGCCTAATATACTGAGCAGTGTCTGAGTGGGTAGCGCATTCAACTCTTTTTTTATGTCTGCTTCTTTCCTTAGCAAGCTGGAAATGGGTGAAACAAAGTCTATTTGGGCTGGTACGTTATGGAAATGCTGGAGCTGTGATACACAGAAGTAACCCCATGCTCCTGCACTGACCTCAGCCTCAGACTTTTGCAGTTGATTTGCAGAAACTTGCCAAAATAAAGCAGAAATCTTAGGAATTGCTGGACAGGCAGACTTGCTTAATGAAACCAAAAGAAATAGAGAGTCTAGGAGTAAAGAAGGCCAAATTACAAAGAACCTGAATCCACTGAAATGTATGCAATTCATTTCAGTGGGAGCAGAAGTTGGCTCAAAATAGACTTGATTAATTAACAATAATGATATTTTGGCACACTCCTCCCAGGCCACAGAGGAGCAGTCTATGCAATTACCGCTGCAAAATCATCATAAATATTTGGCTGCATTGGCTCTATTAAATAAAAAGTCTATAGGAAGCTAATGGCTGGGGTGAAGCCTTTATGCAGAGGACGGCTCGTGATTAAGCACCGGAGCGGCACGGAGAAAACCGTGACTTCACAGAAGTCCATGGCAAAGTTCCCACGGACCTCAGTAGGGTGAGATTTCACTTTGGATGACTGTCTGCGAAGACAGGAACATTTGCCTAATGCTAGCGTTGTGCCAACATGCTACCAGCTCCGTGAACAAACTGGCATCTGTTCCAGCTAGCCCAGACCTTTAGCTGAGAGCATCTGCTACCTTATGAACTGAATTCCTAAATCCCTCCGGGCCTGGGCCTGATTGAAATGCTGCCAGTGCGTGACACGGCTTTAATGTGAAGCCTGCAGATAGTTTGGGGAAATGGCAAAATGAAAGGGAAAAGGATAAGGAGTACTGGACTGGAAGTGATGGAAGAGGGCAGAACTTCTGGCTGCTTTATGGATGGGTTTGGTTTCCCTTGTGAAACGACTTGCTAAAGGTTAGGAAAGAAAGCTATTAATAGGTTTCTCAATAATATAGACCATTTCTGGGCTTAGGATCAAGCCAATACCTAGGATTAGAACTGACAAATTATGTGTATCTTGCTATTTGCTCTGTTCCTTAGAATGAACATACACGTTATGGTTTCATTGAACAGGCCAAGACTGATACTTTGGACCGAGAGAAAGCAGAACTTCACCTTACTGCCCTTGACCCAGCTTGCTTTGAGAGAATGAAACCCAGAGCACCTCAGACACATTTACAGAGGACCTCGAGACACATTTACCTCGCCCTGCTGTTTCCCCAAACCCAGGTTAGTTCCCCTGCCAGCGTCTCCTCCAGCAGGCTTTGCACTGCTCAGTGCCTGGCTCAGCTTCTGCAGCAGTAATTTCAGTGGGATGGATGATGCTGTTACTCTGCATCGCTAAGATAAAGTCTCATTTATTTCCTCTCTCATTGGCACTGAGGGATAATTGAAACACAGTCTTACAGTTTGGCTCTTTATAAATAACAGCCAGAGTGGAGGATTTTGTCTTTTGAATTATAATTATGCTCATCTCTGAACTATATTTTATTAACCACGTTTTATTATCCTCCCATTGCATTGTAAGTGCAGTAGCAGGGAACTGCCAGCTACATTGTTTGCTGATTGACACGCGATTTTCTGCCGTGTGCTTAAACCAGGGAAAATGAGAAAGTGTCCAAAATTCCCAACACTAGCAGCTTTGAAATGCTGCTGGAATTCCTCACCGTAACCTGCTGACTGTGGTGTTGCTCTCTGATATGTTAACTGACTTTCGGGGAAATGGCAGTATTAATTAATGTTTTGTCTGAAGTGTTTGCACATTTGATAGTGGGACTTGTTTACTGTCAGACTGTGGCAAAAAATAAGGCAGAGAATCGTGTCATAGGGCAAAATTCTGCATCATACCACTCGAGGGAAAGCAAAAGCAAAGGGGTTGAGACATTTAGGAAATTCAGAGGGTGCTAGCAAAGAAAACCACACGGCCCTTTGGAGGCTGTGAGGGTGGCAGGGAAGGAGGGTATTGGTGTGCTGGCCATTGGTATTGTTTTCAGTCTGAATGTGGAGTCAGCAGTGTCTTGACCACAGTTATTGCTGTACTGATTGATGAAAGAGCTCTCCACGTTATCCTTCAGCATAGGTTTACTGTCCGTTACAAACTATAACTAAACTTGCTGAGACAGTCAGCAGAAGAGGAGGAAAAGAAGGAAAAGCAGACCGACACGATGATAAAGCTGTTTGTTACAAGTTGTATTGATCCTTTCCACCTGAATTCCTACTTGTAACTTGCTCAAGCTCCCACCAAAGATGTTTATCCCATTAATGCATTTTTCTGTAATGCATACTACCCACTTATGGCAGCTGAGGACAATGAAAAGCTATGAACAGTGATGCATGGACCTGGACATTACAGCAAACTGATCACTAGTGACCGCACTGCAAGCAGTGGCATTAAGTAGCCCCAGCAATACTTTTTGACCTGTGTTGTCCGAGAGGTTGCAATAAGCCCTGTGTTGACCTTGGTGTCCTCGATTGAAGAAGAAAGGCTTTTTGAGTCTTCTGCTTAGGCTGCAGACAAAAGCACTTGAATATTCACACAAGAATATCCTTGTTGGTCTGCACTGAACTAAAGGACATTTCACCCTACGTCCAACTGGCCTCTGGCTGTTAGGAGTGAGACGTGGGGCAGCCCATGCTTTTCAGTGCTGTCAGATGTGCATTTGGGGGAATTTCCAGGATCACACAAGGAAGTTCAGGTCCAAATGCTGCACGCTGAAGCCTTGTTGCAGGATTCTCCAACAGAAACACATTGGAGATGCATGGAGCCAAGCTGCTCTGAAGTGGAAGACAACTGTGAGGCTTCACTGCCATTAATGGATGTTCTCCCTCACTGCCAGATCCTGCAAGGGGTCGTGAAAGCCAGAGCAGACCTCAGTGAGGTTACAGAGCCAGAAGGCAAGTCAGGCTGTGGTTTAGAAATCCCTCACGTACTACTCCAATGGGATTTGGGAAAGGAAGCCAATATTTTAGAAGAAATAATTGATTAGATCTTGCTAACAGCGCTGTGAGATTTCACATAAAAATGCATTTTGAGGAGGATAACATCATCGAGATAGTCTTGGGTATTTCACTTATTGTTGTATTTACCCAAGAAGGGTGAAGACTTCCTAGCAAATTCTGCTGGGACCGTGAGGATTTGATATCTGGCATTTATATGCCTAAGCTATTCTCTCAGCGTTTAGACCTATGTATAAGCTCTCGTCAGGCTGATATGTCTTGCTCTGGATTCTAAAATGAGCAGGATCCTATTAGCAGTGGGAACTGGCTGTGATTGGCTACAGAATTGGAGATGTTCCAGTTGTGCTAATAATACTTTTTGCTTGGAGACGATAACAATCCAGTTATGTTAATTTTTCGCCTGGCGCATACAGTGTGTGATGTACAATAATGTCCATAAGTGTTTTTATGAGTGCTTAATGCACACACTTAAATTTCGCAAAGCAGCTGTCAGAATTAAATGCCTAACAAATCAGATGGTTAATCAGCATGTGAATGCGTGAGGGCTATGTCTGCGAACGAGTCATGCTATTTTTAAAACCCTAGGGAGCTCTGCCACCAGATGGCCTTTTTTTGAGCTCTAAGTATTCCTCAAAACAGTTTGTTTTTTGGCATTATACAATATCTGGTAACTTTTAACTACCTTTCTGAAATTGCTCGCTCCATCTCCCAGATACGCAGCTGACACCGGTGTCCTCACCCCAAAGGGAGCCCTCGTTTCATGCGATTTAAGCCTGGCTGTCCGATGACATTAGTGGCCTCAGGTGGCCACATATGGTGCTTTCACACATCTCTCAGAAGCCTGGGCTCTTCTCCTTCCTATGCCACCTCGCATGGGTTGTAACCAAGTCACCGAATATTTTAGGTGGGGATTAATCAAGACGGAGGAAGTTAAACCCAAGCCTGTGACTATTTAAAGATGCACACTCTACCATTTTTACGAGTTGGTTGCCTAGACAGAGTGAAGGTCTTGCATACCTTTGTGGGCCTGGGCATTAGTCAGCCAGTTCGTGAAAGCCAGCGTAAATTAACCACTTCACATCCTTGGGCTATTTGGAAAATCCTAAGTGGGCTTTTGCCATATGCAGTTCAAACATGATCTAGACCTGGTGCTCTGCTACATTAATCTGGAAATATATGTCATGTGAAGACCTATATTCATTTTCACCTGATCCAGAAGAAGACAGTGGGGACCTTTTTTGTTTTCAGTAGGCTTGATCCACTTACAGCATAAGCCTATGCTCTCTAATTTTAAGGGCATGTTTGATGATAGATGGTTGCCATCTTCTTAAAGCATTTTAAGCATTAATAAGAATACCCAAATAGGTTCTGATAGTTTTGCTAGTTAAATACCAACCAAGCAGAAGACATTGAGACATATTTTCAGGAGTAGCAAGGTGTGGGCACCTAATTGCCATTAAATCAACTAAATCAAATTCTTGAGGAAAAAAATGCCTAGACTGATCTTTTTGGAAGTTGCAGTAGATGTTTAAAAGGTTTTCTACTTTAAAATAAGTTCCTTAGTCTCAGAAATCACTGCCCAAGAGCTCAGTTGCATCATGCACCACCTTCATGATGTCTACTAAAACGTCTGCAGTGACTTTTCTATTGATGGGCAATGACTTGATAAGCCTCTAGCAAATTTCTTCAGGATTTCAGGAGCTATTCTGAAAAGGACAATAACATTTAATTGCACTAAAAAACTCTTGTCAAGAATTTTGAAATTTCTTAGGACCATTAATTAAGGTTGAAAGATAACATACCAGCACTACTATTACCACTTCATCCATGGCTAAACGTATGCAGAAAGAGGTGAAGAGCGCAGTTTGAGATGCTGGTGAACAAAATGTGCACTGAGGAGAAGACAATTCAGGAACATCAATATTATCAACAGAAAACTTGTTTTCCTAGCTTGATCAAAGTCTAGCGTCTCATCTCTCATCTATTCAACACTCAGAAAACTTAATCCTACCAGCTATTTCTCTTTGCATTTAAATAATCAATGGGACAGGACTGCACATCTCATGTAAATATGATTAGCTCACATACTTTTAATTCTGGGATAGCAAAGAATTTTCCCCCTCCTTCCTTTATTTTTCTTCGTTTCCCCTTTCGCCCACTGTGACTAGGAATACCATTTTTGTTGCTTGTGGTACATGGGTTCCCACGAAAAGTTTGGGTTTTGTGAGGCTGACATTTTCCAAGAGAAACCCATTCCATGAGAAAATCTCCAACCAGCCCTTTCTCTGACTACATCCAGGATGCCTTCTGTGGGCTCCGATCCAGCAGCAATCACACAAGTATCAACAAAACTCATGCCATGGACCTCACAAGGGAAATCCTGGCAGCAGAATCTGGCCCACTAAAGATGTTATTGGGTTTAGCAATTACTTTGCTCCTAGCTGTTTACAACTGGGTATCAGCAGTGTATACCACTCACATCACTGAATTAAGTTCTGATTCAGGACTATAGGGAATATGTATTATATCAATTTCTACCTTACTTGGGGGTGCTACAATCCTCACCCTGCATGGCCAGGGAAGATCGCCTGTTTTATTGTAAATCTCCCCTCTTCATGTGGATGCAGCCATAAAGAAGCCAATCCAGAAGCATAAAATGGAAAAGGTGTTATTATTATCATCATCATCATCATCATCATTATCATTATTATTATTATCATTATTATTTTACTGACAGCTCCTGCTAGCTTTTTTCCCCTTGGGAACGTGTGGTCCGAGATTTGATGCTCAGCTCCAATCGAAGAGCAGCGGGCTCCTTCGAAATGCTCCTGAAGATGACCCAGTTTCTTACAGAATGAAATCAATTAGTAATGAATTAGTAAGGTTGGTAGGACTTGGATGCAGAGAAGAGCAGTGTTACTGCTGAATGCAGCCCTGTACACAAGTCACACTTAGGCAGCTCTTGCTTCCTGCATTTTGTAGCTAATTTGATGACTTTGTGAAAAGATAAAGGAATCAGGGCCTGTAGACATCTTTGGCTCATTCTTAACAATTTCAAATGGCTGAAATAACAGAGGAGAGGGAAGAATGCATAGTGATAAAAATGTTGCAGGGCTTTAGGAAGGCAATATTTCATCTCAATTGAATTAAGTGGGATGAATTTCAATTTGATATTTGTGGCACAACGTCTGACTTTATTGAAGGCAGCCTGCTCTATAAATTACATCGATTCTTTAGTTTCCCGGAACATGCTTTACTTTCTAATTGTGAGGGTGCGCTGTGGCAAAAGCAGATTTCAGTTTTCTCTTCATCAGCAGACACACAGATTACAGGAATAAAATAGGAGAAGAGCCAGAAATTCCCATCAGTGCATAGCAGATGCTTACCTGTGTATTTGCACAAAAATTCTCAGCACAAACTTCTGAAAAAGAAAAATTATATATTTGTAAAGTCTGTAGGAATGGTAGGAGCTGTTGTTATATTTCTCATTTCCAAATTTTGTATGAAAATATTCTACACTGCCTCACTATTGCATCAGAAAATGAAAAGCTGATATCAAAGCAGTATTTCTTTTCAGAGGTAACATAAGGTAACGTATAGTTAACTACTTTTAACAGGCAAACATGCTTGGATTGATCTGTATTGTTTTTCCCTAAAGTCATTCACATTTTGGTTTCTTCTTCTGATTTTGGTGAGGATTCTTCTCCTGATGTGCAATATTCTTAGAGGGAGAGGATGCTCTCATTCACATCTAGCAAGCTGCTCTCTGCAAATCAAAAAGGAGAACACATTTCCCTTCCAATGAACTCAGATGATCATCTCAGACCTATTCACTTGGGCCACATTTTTGGCAAAGATACAGATATGAAGTAGACTTGAAGTATTTGGAAGTCGAAGTCAAGCACAAGCATAAGTGCTTTGCTGGACAGAGGCAGTTTAGGTATATGCAGAGAGCAAAGTTTAACAAAGACTGGAGTGACGCCACGCTACTGCATTAAAAATAGGAATCCTCTGCTTTCAAACATTTGCTTAGTTTTTCTTAGCACAGAATTGGAACAGGAAAAGAACAGTATTATCTATCAGTCATATGGCCCTCAACCTTCTGGAACAGCACATGTTGTGCACTATGTATATTTACCCATTAAAAAAGTCTGTAGATTCATTTTTTTTCTCTGACATGAAAAATGTTGATGGAAGCACTGAAGGATTAGACTGTCTCTGAGATTTGCTTGCTAAAGTAAACACGAGCCAATACTGTAACCAGATCACATACTTGTGGTGGAGCAAAGTGACTAATTTAATTTTCAGCCACACTGAGAAGAAGCAGAAAGTGCACCAGGAAATAGCCCGAGCTTTCTTTAGTGTGGGAATGAAAACACATGTGGGACAAATGGGCCTGATGGGGTTTTTTGGCCTCGTTTTACCTGTCTTGGCCCTTGGGATACATCATCCAGAAAAATAGTTCAGAATGAGATTATAAGGGTTTGGCAGACAAATAATAAAATGGATTTCTATTTCTTTCTCAGAGAGAGGTTCACCAAGTAACTGTAGGAATATTACACTCTGCAGTGGGCTTGGTTTGTTTTCCAAGCTTTTCCTCCAGTCACTGCAGTTGATTTGGTTCTCTGCTCTCAGACACTGGTTGGAAAAAAAGAAAAGGAAGCAGTAACTGAACCGCAGTGCTACTGAGAGGCTGGCTCCAGCCTCTCCCAACCAGTCCAAGCAGGGAATCAATTATTTATCAGCTGTAAGCACAGGACCTGGGGTTGCTGTTATCACCAGTTCAGTTGTCACACCTAGCCTGGAGTCAGCTGCTAGGGGTGGGAGCGAGGTGGGGCCAGCAATACACACAGTGCTTTGCAGATCCTGCTGACTGAAGGTGACAAGTGGGCTCTGAAGACATCACTTACTCCACATGATTAGAAGTCAGCAGTAAACAGCAGTGCTGTGCATCAAGCGCTGCTTTACAAAGCAAACGCCTGCTTCACGGACCTGTGAGCAGCAAATTAGATTTGAGAGGTGGTTGACTTTTTTTTTTTTTTGGCAAGATTGTGATCAGATTTTACAAATTAATCTCTCATAATTTCCACTTAATGTCATTCTTACTTTATTTTTGCTGCAGTAGTGTCTGGACAACCGAAATAGCCCACCACCCTGCCGTTGTACAAAGTGCTGAGCAAAACCCACTAAAACAAAGCACTATCCCACTTTAGTTTAAGAAGGGATGTTTTAAAGCCAAAGCACCACGCTGTGGTCACACCCCCACCAAAATCTTTTCTATCCTTGGATGCAGTTGTGTCATATAGCAAGAATTTTTTGGAGTGCTAACATTTATCTGAGAAGACTCCTCAGAGGATGTTGTGTAAGAATTCGAGAGGCTTTTAGCGACCTGAAACTTCCGTGCTGCTCGCAGAGTTCGTTGCAGCCCGGGGTTAGGCTGGGGGAAATGCACTCCGTCTGTTTCTGAATCTTGACATTTTTTTCAGGTACTCAACATAAAGGCATTTGTCAAAGAAGACCTCAGTTTTCATCTCCCTGCTATAAGCAGGGAAAGAGATCCAGGTGCCTGAAAATAAACCAGATTTTCCTGGTGTGGTTAGATGCAATGTTAGGTAAGGAGGAGAGAAAGAGCCGTGCTAGCCTGCAGCACCAACCTGTCTTTGCAACTCTCCTTCGTTAAACACGTGTGCTGTGGCACTTCCAGTCACGACCGGGGCTCCACTTTTGTGCCAACACACGGTAAGAGGCCCTTCCACCCGGATAACCTCGGCAGTTCAAGTGCAAGAAGGGAGAAGAAGAGCACTGTTGGTCCCATTGCACTGACTGAAGTGTGAAGAGCAGAAATGTCACATTTCTTGGCTGCGGCCGTCCAGGCAGCTTTCAGCAGAATCAAGAACACACGTCCCTTGAGCCCAAGCGTTTTTACTGTGAAGTCACAGGAGGTCAAGTTATAAAACATGCTCTTTTCCTCACCAGCAGGCCATTCCCTCTTTCAGGCACATTTCTGCGTATACACTAAAGAGGATTTAACTGCACAAGGCAGAAAAGAAGTTTGATAATCATGAGAAATGGATGCTGAAAAGGCACTTACCAGCTTACTGTGCGTAAAGACAAGCATAACCACAAGTAAATGGGCTTAAAAATACAGACTGAGAGCACACAATGGATTTAAGGCAGATGGAAGATAATGTATTCTTTTTATAAAAATCTCTTTATACCTGTATACAATAACAAACACTTCTCCCATAGCCCTCCCACTTGGACTAGGATCGCTGCCTACTTTTCTTTGTTCTCCCTGCATCACAGAGATGGCACAGAGAGGTCAGTTCTCTTTCCTAAAGCTGCCCAACCGTAGAATCAACGAGAGAATCCAAACCCAGTATGGCAGCCTTTATTACAAGACTCAGACCAGCAAAACAAAGCAGCCAGAGACCATGGAGCATGAAAATATACACCCAGTTCGTGTTTAATTCTCTAACAGGTGAGACAGGACCGTCCACAGCAGGAAAGTTCTGACTTTCTCTTGTCTTTGAAAGATCTGTGGGAATAATCAAAATATTGCATTGCAATTTCTTAAGATTGCCATATGTTAACTGCTGACCAAAACAATCAAAACTTCCAAAATATTTCAGATCAAAGATACAAAAGCGGGATGCTGCTGCTTCATCAGAGCTCTCCCAACCACCAGGCAGCGTTTCACCAAAAGAAGTTCAATGCTCTGCTGTGTTATTAGGAAGAAAATACACAGTACAGTGGAAGATGGTTCCATTTGTATTTCTCCAGAAGCCATACCAGTCATTTTTGAACATCCTACTGTTTTTACAACGCAAAATTCTACTTACAGTAAGTGGGAACAAAATGAGTCACCCAGTTTTTGCTGTAATTTTAATACCCTGTTATTTTAATGTCCAAGCATAAGTACAAATTAGAATAGTCTTCAGATTGCAGATGCTCTTCTAGAGCTTACAATGCTTACAAAAATACTTAGCTGAACATACAGAAAGTTACTTTGATTGCCAGTGCAAAGCCAGCATTTCACTGTATCCAGACAAAGACAGAGAAGGAACAAAATTCATCTGGCTTGTATGGATCTTTGGATTTCTTTTTATGTGAATTTCTTTTGTAAAGTATTGCTTAGCTGCAGTGTACTGGGGTGGGTGGGCTGGGGGCTTGAGGAGGAGGAGAGATTTTCTGCTTTTCAAATAAATGTGCTTTAACATAAACAATAATATAATAAATGTATGTAGTTTGCATTGATGTCTTATCATTTTCTCGCAGGGCTTCCAAAGAAGCTGAACAGAGGATATTCTCTTGCAGAAAAACAGCTTCTGCCCAGCACAACAGATCTCTCCAGCTGCAAAAGGTGAAACTCCCCTGACTTCAGCATCACTCTGTGACTCGGTGAAAGTGGTCAGAACTGATCCTAAGGGAAAGGCATGGTACTCCCATGTGCCCCACCTGAGCTGAATTTACTCTGGATAATTTCTTTGGGAGCTTCAGCATGCCCTGTGCTGCATGCTAAAAATGTTACGCTACAAATTCAATGCTTTGGTTTTATTTTTGACAGTTCTTAAAGCATGACAAGAATGATGAGGCAGGACGTCTCCGGCAGACATCTGTTTTAGCACAGAGCTCCTGTGCATGATGCAGTGACACAACTCTGCTTCAGACCAGTTGCCTCCCCTCTGGTGAAAGTATGTGAATTTGCAGTTTCTTCCTCTCTGTAACTCACCTACTGAACGGGCATCATTTTCCACTTCTGCACCATATTTTGAACAACTTTTATTACTATTTTTCTTTTTCTTTGCTACTGTCTTAGGTACTTATACTCAATTATGTAAGCTGTATTTTGCACTATAACAAAGTGTAGTATGGTATAAAGTAATTATTGATTTTAGATACATCTCATAATCTTCTCTCACATTATTAGAGCAAGTTTGTTGCATTGAGTTACCTCAATAATTCAGACTACTGGTAAGTTACATCTATGCTTAAGAAACTGAAATTTACAGTCAGTCTGAAGTAGAACCGGAGTGGGATCTGACACAAAGCAGGGCTGAATGGAGATGTCTGGATAAATCAAACCAAGGGCTTGTCCACCGAGTCCTAGAGCTTGACGTGCCAACCCCGTGAGGGTTTGTGTTCAGCCAGCTGGGTAAAGAGAAGTTTGAGCTTAAACTGCATTTAAATGCAGGAGAGACAGTCTGTGTAGTCACTTGCTGGCTATGGTCCCCATCACTTTCAATTAAGTGGAAGTGGCTGGCTCCCATTCTCAAAATGCATCTGGACATCTAATTTCTGTTGATTTTCAGTGTCTGTGTGTTAGCCCCTTTCTGAACCATCATAAATTCTGGTTCCATCTTGCATTAATACCTAATGAAGCCCTTTATTGTACAGTGCTCAAGTGGCAAACTGTGAGCCACGCAGCAAACTGGACAGTCTGCTCTAAATGCTGGGTGAAAAAATTCCCGTCAGTGATGGCATTCAGACCTTGTTTATGTCATTCTGGGCTCTGTGTACTGTATTCCTTGTTTATTTTACAATAACAAAACAATACAGAATTGCTGATGCCTATTCTCACACAGGGAGACTGCTCTCTCTGCCCCTCTAATGACTTCCCAGGGGTGGTGTCAGCCGTTCCATTCTGCTGTTCTAAAGGCTTCCCCCTGAAAGGATTATCTACTTTAATTGGCTGTAAATTAATGGAAGGAAAACTTGCTCTTTGCAGTCACATCAACTTAGGACTTACCAGAAATTAACCAGATAGCTGGGAAACAAAACAAAAAAAAACTAATATTCTTCATGTGAAAACATCACTTTGTATTTCCATACAAATAGCAGTTCGTATTTACCAACGCTTAGGTTGGAAAAGACCTCTGAGATCAACTGGTCTGACCTTTATCCTACAACCTTTAACCAAAATCAACATTTCCATCATGGGTGGCAGGCTGTGCTACCTCAAGGAAGGGCAAGGTTTCCAGTCTCAAGAACTTTATTTATAGTCATTGTCTTTAGGTGTGAGGTTTTGAGTTTTCTTCAAACCAAACCAAAACAGTGCAAGTGCAGATTACCTAAGTGGGTCTGGACTGAATTGTCTTTGTTTCATTTATGCTGGCCTTTAAAATAAAAAGGAGAAAATAGGAGTATATTTGAGCAGAGAAAAGGAATGATGTGTGAAAAAAACAAAGTGCAGGCCATGCGACAGATCCCATGCAGGCTCTCCAAGACTGATACGAGTTGTGAATGTTTGGCATTTCTGTGACTCAAACCACTTTTATTTAGCTTTCTAACCAGTGTAAACAAAAGACATTCACAGATTTCAGTTGAATCCTGCTAAATCTATGCCCCCATACACAGGGCAGAGCTGTCTAAAACTTTCCAGGATACAAGGAAATCCACAAGCATCCCACATATAAAAATTTCTTTACTAATGCTTTTTATAGAGTCCTCCCCTTGGTAGCTTATAGAGATTTCTTTGCTGATGGATTTTATGGAGACCTCTCCTTGGTAGCTGATTACCCATCACAGCACATTTGTCATTGCTGTGAGGCAGCACAGCATTAATGTCTTCATTACAGAGAGTTGTGCCCAGACAGGGGAAATGGCACGCTCAAATTCCCTTCATCACAAAACTGGACGTTTTGGGATGTGTTAGAAAACTGAATCAACTCCCAGATTCACTGAGAAGTACCAAATTATAGAGCAAGTCATCCAGACTATATATTCAAGATGCTACAAAATTATTTTAGAGGCGCATGGGTGCAAATCACTTCAGTAAGAAGTTATGGCTTGTTGAGCTCTAAAGAGAAGGATGGCTTTTGGCAGGACACACAGATTTGGAAACACAACATCCAAATTTGCCTGCCTACCTGGGAGATTAAACTATTTTCACAGCTTGCCTTTTGAATGCAGTCTGGACAACAATCAGAAACTTCCACGAAACAGGGTGTGAATTTTTTAAAAAGCAGTGCTTGAGCTGAAGTTCTCTCTAATCAGCTCTAATATTTTTTAATAAGGGTAGTGAATTACACAGAGGTCATGGCTATCAACTAGAAGCTTTTGTGACAAAACAGAGAAGTGACTCACGAGCTTATGAGTCAAAAGGGCAAGAAGTGCTATGTTCTGTGGCTGCTCTCCCCCAGCATCTCCAAATTGTTTTCCCAGGTGGTTTGCCTGAGACAATTCTGATTTTCCCCTCCCAGAGCCCTGGTTGCTAAATTATCACCAGCTTTTTGTGATTTACAACAAATGACAGGAAGTGCTCTGTCATGTCCCAGTAAAACCACTGCATGAGTGAAATGACATCGCAGAGACCAGATGTTTTAGAGGATAGAGCTCAAGATTCTGTGTGTGGGTAATCAAAAAGGGCTGAGGATGAGGGTTTTCTTCCCCTTTTATTTCCTACACTAATAAGGTAATAATAGCTGGTAAGATTTAATCACATATATGGGTATGAAATTCCCTGCAGGTTAAAGCTTTTGAGCTGCTGAGTGTTCAGGTCATCCTAGGTGCCACCCTCATTCCTCTGTGGGAATACTGGTGTAGGAGGAATGAGGATTCTACCTTTCAGAGGAGAGGCAATATCAGTCCTTTGATATTGCTGAAAAGCTCCCTCATGGACTGGAATCCAACAGTGGTAGGGGTCTGCAAACACTTTAGAAACAAACAAACAAGAAATCTGGACTGAAACTCTGAGATTTGAAGATAAAAGCATTCTTCAGAGTGCAAGGAGAAAGCATAAAAAAAAATAATATATTTTTAGCTGCATAGTTAGCAGGGTATCACAGGGAGCTAGACTTTGTATTTTATTGAAAGTTATTTTGTCTAGATCTAGTGCCAAGTTAATGGATCTATACAGCTGAGGATGGGAATGCTTTCATGTCTGGCCAGGTCAGAGCTTGGGTTTCTCCTTAGCAGACCATGATCCAAGTTCCCTCTCTCTCTGCACACCTGTCTCACGCACATCCTATTCATAAGACAGTAAGAAGGGTTTCTAAACAGATCTAATTGCAAAATTTAGAAATCATTAGGTTCATAAACTTGCTTTTTCTTCCTAAATCTGCAGTGATGCCAGCTGTGAAGCATTAATGGAGTACAAATTTGCCCAGTCATCAGACAAGGAATTTCTGTTTCTACTCTTAGCTGCACAAACTGCTATTTGTCTCAAGTTTGAAGCAATGCTGAGAAGCTTTGCACCTGATTTGACTTGAAAGTGCTAATAGCTATTCTAAAAGCAAAATCAACCACTCTCCTGAGAGCTGTATGAGTATAAATCAAAGCCTGTGCCTGCTGTTGCTGCAACAGTGACAAAAACAAAATAGACATCTGGTGTGTTTCACTATAGTAACTTCTACATTCAGGGGAACTTTGAAGTGCTTCATGAATTTCTTTCTATAGTTATCTCACAACAGGTAAGAATTTTTTGTTTCTCTCTCTCTCTCTTTTTATTTTTTTTAGAAATTATGTTTTCCATATGCCATAAATTTGAAAAGCACTGTTGAGCTTATTTTTTCCCCCCAACCTGGCTGTCTCTGCTGTTACATTGCAGCAAGTTGCAGAAAACTGGATTAAATTAAAAGGGAAACCACATCAACGTAATCAGAAAATTAGCAGCAGTTGGATTCTTATTTGAACCGCAAATGCATGAGTCAGGACCAACACTATTGAAATTAATGACACTTCAGAGGTAATTGATTTTTTTTTTTAATCAAAACCTTTTAAAAGTATTAACTAAAAGGAAATCCTAATGATAAAAATATTCAGATTGTCCTAGGATGACTGAAATTCTAGAGAGTGGACAAAGGAAAAATAGTTTTAAAATGAAAAAATAAGGAATTCTATTTCTTACCACCCCACGTATGCACCCACAAAACCAAAATCCTGATAAAAATCATCGGTAATGATGATTTTTTCATTAATTCAAACAACGAGCACAACAAACGGGGGAGGTCAATCAGTTGTATAGCATCAGGTGTATTATTATTTAGACCTGATATTTCTTTTTTGTCTATTTTTTGTGACAGTGCATACATCTGTATGAAGCTAAATAACGCTGAAGTTTGAAGCAGGGGATGTTGCTTTGCCTTCAGCAGGCAGCAGCTCCCTGCCAGCTCCCTGCCTGCGGTGCTTCGTGGGCTCCCTCTGGCGGTGCCTTCATTCCTCGCCCTTCAGCTCTCCTGCCTTCTTCCTTCGAGGCTTCTTCCTTGCTGAGCTCCTGCATCTGTCCCTGTGTGGTTTAATTCCCCGCCACTGTTTTAGAGGTAGATTTAAGGCTTGCAAAGTGGGCAGCTGCTCAGGGCAGTGGCTGTCTGCTTCTTTCTTGGCTGGTGGGCAGCACACGCACCCCAAACCCACCTGCCCATCTATTCTTTACCCATCTGGTGTTTGAAGATCTCTGTGCTCTATAAAGATGCAGTAACCAGCAGCCAGAAACTTTTTGCTTCTAAAGTATCTGTCAGAAATCTCTTGGTTTCTGTGCATTATGGCATGAAAGAAATGTGGAGATGCAGAGCCAGCTTCAATTACTGCTGACCTGAAGTGACCAATTCACCCTCCTGCTATGTTCTTTTAATCTTACAGCACCCAAGAGGACTGGGTTACTCCCTGCAACTAACTGGGATACCTCCTGCTATTGTCTTAGCCAAGCAGCATGTGACCACTGCCTCCTATTTTATGGCATCTTTACAAATATTCCCTATGTACAAATGCAGAAGCATGAAAAATGTCAGGTGATGTAAATACTCAGTTTTCCATGGTTGTTTTTTAGCTTAGAAATCTTACCAAAAAGACAAATGACAATGCCTGAAATGTTCCCTGATTTTCTCTTGGCATTTGAATTGAAAAGGTCTCTATAAAAATCGTGTGTTTGGGTCTAAGACCTAGGAATCACTCTTATTTGCAAGCAGTATGTGTTGTTCCCTGCTGCACCCTGAACTAATTGGCGTATGTTTTACTGTCCTGAGGTTTTATTAATGAACAATATTTCATTCAAAGCTAATTAAAATCTCTAGGCAGACCATGCTTAGCAATAAAGATGCCAAATATGAAATTGGAGAACAGGTGAGCAGACAGCCTAATAACTATAATTATTTTGTTGGGAAGTAGGAAGGAAGAAGGTGGATAAAGCCCACACATTAAGAGACTCGTAAATACAAAACACTTAAAGTTGTTGGGCGTGTTGAGCCACTGTCAGTAATTCACTTGTTTTAAAGGTACCATTCTGCAAAAGGTATTTAGATCTTGTTCTCAAAACACTGCTACTCTGCTGAGGCAGAGGAATCAGAAGGCTCCTGCTGGATGAAGGGCCCTTTAGTTAGAGTGAACTTGGAGAATGAGGGGCATAGCACACACTTCTCAATCTTTCAGATAGAAGAAGTTGCTTGGGAACAGAAGGCATGGACCAAAATCTGCAGCCTAGATGTTCCCACATGTTCCTGGAGCCTACAAGAGCTCGTAGCAGTTTATAGTAGCCCTGAAACTTTTCAGCTTTTTTGTTAGATTTCATATGGAAAAGGGAAATATAAAATTTGTCTTAACTTCCAGCCTGGGTCACTTGAGCACCATCTGTGGCCTGCCTTGTACAGAAGGCACCAGCCTACTTTGTGGCCCCCCACGGCTCCCCAGCCTCATCTCTGAAACCACGTTTTACTTGCTTTATGGATTTATTTCTTGGCTCTCTCTCAGGCAGCTCTCTCCTGAGAGATTCCTCCTCTTTTAGTTCCTGTTAGGCCTTTTTGTTATGCAGAACTTGATTTTATTCTAGCTGCTCCTTACCTGCTGCTGGAGTTAACCCCTGCCTTACTGCCTGGAGTTTGTAAAGCCCACCAAATTTAGAACAAAGCAAATCCTGAACTGTATCTATTCCTTCAGCTTGCTGCATTTCACGTACCTAATGACATCCCTCAGACACATGTTAAAGAGTTCACAAGGAAGGAATTTTCTCGTTTCACAACAAGAAAAAACCTGGAGCAGTGTGAGTTTAGAGGAGTCCGTTCTGTGGAAGAAGTTTCCTGTAGCTTGATGCGTGCTGGGCAAATGAGAAGGCCAAAGTCTGCTGCTGCTGGAGTTTGACACGTTCTTTTCTGAACTTTGGATAAAAAAGCAAAGAAATAGAAAAGGGAAACGTGCTGAGACTCAAGCAAAGATTTCTTCATTTTGCTTTTGCCATTGTATAATCTTTCATTAGCAGCTGTAATTAGTCAGTACCAGACCATCAGTGGTTATTGAAGTGTCTGCAACTAATTAGACATGATGTTTTTATGGGAGTAAGCCTGTTAGCCTAAGAATTTACACTAACTATTCTTCTGAAATGATGAGCAGAAGGCTTATCACGGTGGCATTTCTCATCTCAGAAATGGTTTTAACATCAGCTGTGGCTATGTTAGAAAGAACAATTTCTCTTGCCTTCTTTTGCCAAGGAGAACCAGAAATTCACACTAGCAAGTCAGTGATGAAGGTCTGAGTTGATCATTCTGATTGCTGTACACTGGAATTCTTAGAAAACAGAATTTGCCCATAAAACCTATCCTTGTTACGTTTATCTTTAGCTACTTCAAGTCCCTCATCATATACAGAATATATGGCCTGAGTTTTCTCTATAGATACACTGGCATTACGTAAAGGCAGTGGAAAACTAGAGGTGAGATTTGCTTTGATAGATGCAGCTCCCCTTTTTAGGGCTGTTTCCAGAAATGATACTGCTCTTTCATTGCTAAATGAAACTTCAGGGCCTGTTATGTCAAGCAATTGGCAGGAGAAATTTAGTATCAGACAGGACTGAATTGCACTGTACATGGGCTAGAATTGCCCGTGCTCTGCCTTCATACATTTTCATCATTTAACATGTGTAAGGACTAAAACTTGCAATGTTAGGCAGTAGTTACAGTCTCAAACTAAGTGGGAGCATTATAATAGATAAATCTATTTAAAAAGAGATTCCAGTCCTGGTCAAAATCTTGGTTGTTTGCAAAACTGATCCTTTTCGGGAAGCACTAGAATTTTCACTCATGCCATATTTTATTGTTGAAGTGTCCATCAATGAGTGTCAAAACATGGTGAAGTCTCCAGAACTGTACTTGGCACCCACTAGAATACTAAATTATTTCACTAATGAGCAGTCACTCTGTCATGACAGCCCCAAAATTCACGATGATGGGCTATTTAGGTGTAATTCATTAAATATGAATGGGCTGTACAGTCTAATTTTATTCCCTGGAAGACAAGAGGAAAAAAAAAAAAGAAATGGTGAGTAACGGGAATATAATTTGTAAGGCCCAGAACTCTCACACAGTAAAATCCAAGGGCAGAGAGTGCAGCTCACAGCCATTTCTCCCCTCTTTTCAGTGGGAATTGGGTGCTGCCCCAGCACTTTTCCTGTGACCCTAACAAAACACCACAAATATCAACAGTGTGGTGGCTCTCTTGTCATTCTGGGGGGCTCCCTAGAGGAGAGGTGAGCTGTGAGGAGGAGCCTAGGTTGTGATGTGAGAGAGAAATGCGACGTGAAGTGGTCTGGGCTGGAAATATGGTGGAAAATACTGGGTTGGGGTTGGAGGGGGGGAATCCGCCCCCAGGTGGTTGTGAGGAAATGGCGGAGCTAACAGCAAATGGCGGGTTTAGGGTGGGGAGTGGAAAGGGGAGGGGACCTGAAAGGGCAGGATTGACAGAAAGTGCTGAGGTACAGCAGCTCTGGTGTCTGTGGGGGAAGCACTGGTATTGTCCTTGTCTCTGTGTGTGTGTCCTTGTTCTTAGGCCAGTTTTAAAGTGTCTGCAGTGTACTTAGCTAAACTTCCCAGACTGAAAGGAAGCTCTGTGCGTAACTGTAGGGCCATCCTGGTGGTGCCTGAACAAAAGGAGAATTTGGGCCTTGTCCCCTTGCTTTAGGACAGAGCTCAGCCACTGTGTAAATCTTTAGGCCAGAGGTGGTCTCTGTGATCAGGTGGCCTTGAATGGGAAGAAGGGATCCTTGTGTCCCCTGGGCTACCCTATGGCCCTGAGCCTGGCCACCCCATCACTGGGGGGCTGGCTGGTGTCCTGGCATCCCCTGCCTTAAGCTACCAAGCCCAGAGTACCCACCTCACGGCCTGATGGTCGGCTTGCCGTCAGCTTAGAAAGTTTTCTTTGAAGGCTGGGGGTTTGTGGTGCTTGGGTTGTGTTGCTGCTGTATGTAACTTATGGGATCTTAAAGTAAATTCACAGGGTTTGAATTAGCTGCCTTGGCAATTGCGTTTTTTGGCGTCATTAAAACGATCTTAATTTTTTCTTTTTCTTCTCTAGCACTTGAGCTGAAAAGGATTCAAGAGGAACAGAATGTTTTTCACACTATTATGGGTACTGCTGCTTAATCTCTTCCTCGATGTCACATTTCATTTCTGTCATTACGGGAACAGAACAGAACCAGATTATTGTGCTCAGTGATTTCTCAATAAAATTCAGCTTCAATGTCTAGGTTTTTTACTTAGGAACTTTCAGTGCCCTATCTGCTCTAATTCCCACCAACAGCACATGTAATTTTACCTGTGCTTTGCTTTCTGTTCCTGAAATCTGTATTTAATATTAATTCTCAGAGGGGTTTCTCCTCATAGTCTTGTTTATGTTTGCATCTTGGTTGAGACAAAAAGAAAACCCCTTTATATGCTGTTCTCTGTAATCATTAGGGTTTGATAAGGAGATGCTTCCTTCTGCCAGCATGGGGCCTGCATTAACACGTAACCACTCCGAGGAAAACATTCTGCAAAATCATGGGAGCCCAGATTCTTGAAGCACCAGGTACCTCCATACGTCCATACAGTAAGTACCTCCATATGCAGGAAAATCCAAAGTACAAGTCAGATTCTTTTCAGTTTTGCTCCTTCAGGAGCATGAGCAAATGCAAAGCCTGGGATTGTTGCCCATTTGCTGAACGTTGCCTGCTTAAATATTTAGCCCCCGTCTGTAGTAAGGATTCCTGTACATGTTTAAAGTGCTGTTAGGCTGCTATGGGTTATACGCTATAAATACTTAATGCTTAAACAGGGAAATTGGAGAAAGCGCACTACCACATGTTTAAAGTGTGAAAGGGGATGCTCAATTCCTAGAAAGCAGGCTTGAGACCACAGTCCAGATGACAGAACAGGTAATAAAAATACATTAACATAAACAGGCAGGGACGCAAAAGCCTTGTTTAGTGGTAATCTTATCTACAAACAGGTATAGAATAAATAGATTAAAATCAATTTGGGTCTCCAGACCTTTGCAGTAATCTCTTTAACTGGGGCTCATTAATTCTCAGGGAGATTAAACTCCATGACTTTAAATGCCCAAGTTAAAAGTAAAATAGCTAATTTAGCTATAGGATCTCATTGGGAACAAAGTAGAGTATTAGTATTCATATGAAAATTTCCCAAATTAATGACCCAGGGAGAATATTACATAGGTTTAAGATGTCTAACAAAAGGTATTTCTGTAAAGAATGTCTGATTATTGTCTTTTTATTGTTCAAGGCCATGTATATTTGTGTTTTAAACACCTCTGAGGATGGAGATTCCACAGCCTCTCTGGGCAGCCTGTTCCTGTGTGTCACTGTCCTCACAGTGAAAAGCTTTTTCTTATTTTTAAATGGAATTTCCTCTATTTCAGTTTGTGCCTATTGTCTCTTGACGTGCATCTGGGCACTGCTAAGAAGGGTCTGACTGTTTTCTTTGCTCTCTCCCTCAGGTATTTATACACATCGATAAGGCAACCATCACACCTTCCTCCAGCCCCAGCCCTTCACTTCTTGTCTGACAGCTGCTCCAGTCCCTAATTCTCTGAGTGGCCCTTTCCTGGACTTGTTTTGGTATGTCCCATGTTTTTTTAATTTTTATTTTTCTTCTTTTTCTGGGGAGCCCAGAGCTGGACACACTCCAGCTGTGGTCTCAGCAGTGCTGAGTCGAGGGGAAGAAATGCCTCCCTCTGTCCCATGTCAACGCAGCCCTCAGGGCTGTCTGTCTTTGTTGCAGGAGTTCATGCTCAATCCCATGTGAACTATTTTTTCTAAACGGCTTATTGTGAAGCAGCACAGCTCTCTTGGAGCTGATGGAGGAGCTCAGGGCTGCTTAGGAAACTGTAAAAGTATAACTTGTACAGGAATATACTGACTTACAGTGGTAGCAGTGTTTTCTATTGCTGGACCTAAGAACAACTTGTTTTAGCAGCTGCAATACACAATTACTTGGAAAAGGGCTGGAAACTATACGCGTGACTTGTTATTACAGAATAATAGCAAACCAGCTTTCTGAGTTTTGAGACATGAATTACAGTGAAAAGCGAAATTAAAATGAAAACATCCACTTCTGATTTCTCTCTGCAACAACTTGACTCGCAGCTGAGTCTCTGGTGTGCTTTTATGTATAGTGATCGATGTCTGCCTTAGGCTATAGAAAAAAGCACACAATACTTGTGTTATTAAAATAATGGTTAAGCTCCCATTGTCTTCAGTGCTGTTAAGAGCTGTTGAACTTCCAGAGGTATGGTGTGCTCCCAGGACTTCTTTGGATGATGAGTGCTCGCTGCCTCTTGACTTCTGGTTGTTTCTGGTTTGTTTTCTTCTGTCTGTCTCTTGTCTGAAGTCAAACAAAATGCAGAATTTTGAAAACAGTTCCTCCCCAGAGCAGGTGCCATTGCATTTAGCACGTGAAGTGTTCAGAAATGCTACCAGTCTTTCAGCACGGTGCAGATCCTAGAGACAAGGGCTCTTGCAGCAGGAGGGTTACCAGTGTGCACCAAGAAGCAGCCCCCCAGGGCAGGGCAGAGCAGCTTTGTGTTATTCATGGTGCTGTGATTTCTGTGCTGCCTGCTCCAGCTGCTTTGAGTCCCTTGAGCTAGAAGCGAGCAACCCAAGTCAACTCTGACTTGCACAGAGGTCATAGCTAATCATTTTAGGAGAAGCTATTGTAAAGATATTTGGGAGGAGGACTGAGGGGAATGACGCATTTAATGGGCTTGATGATCTTAAAGCTCTTTTCCAACCTAAATGATTCAATGATTTTTTTTCCTGCATCTACATGACACGACAGACAAAAGTTTTTCATTCCCAGCTGAAGACTCCTGTTACCACTTCCTTTAACCCCAGCTTTGAAGGCTCAGCTGGTTTAGATTGAACTTTCACATGAGGGAGCTGTAGGATCAGATACCAGGGTGATGGACAGACATCTGAACACCCAGGTGGATAGAGGGAGGTGGGGAATGCTAGTTACCCCAGGTTTTCTTCCAAATCTATTTAAAGAACAAACACTTGCTGACATTCATGCCCATACATCATGGGCATTTTTTTCTTGAACTGTTCGTGAGGGGTTGTCTAAATGAAATTGAATTTTACTGGAAAAAAACGAGATGGTTTTGGCAATTAACTTTCTCCATGTTAACTGACTTGCAATTAACCTGCTGGAAATGTCTTTAATGTCAGTGTCATGTTTAAATATACCTTGTTGCTTTAATCGATTGTGTAATCACAGTCTTCATAATCTGCTTTGGCTTTGTGCTTATTACACTGGGACCTGGATTGTCACTCAGAATTATTAAGTCTAAAAAGTTCTCCCTTTAATGGCAATTAACACTGAACCAATTCATTTTAAATATGTAGACGGAGATGTGATTAAAATGTGGGTTTGTAATGCAACGTAACACTAATCTGAAGCCTGGTTTTTCACGGGGACTGCATTGCCACCTGCAAGCAGGCTGCCTTACAGCTGTGTTTGGTGTGCTCCTGGTAAATGGGGACATCTGTGAGTGCCACCACCTCGCAGACAGGTTGTGCACAGGACCCCGAGGCTCAATAGCTGTCAAAATAGGGCTGTGGATACCATTCTGACACGTGGTGGTGGCTGCCTGCCCCTGTCCTTCAGGAAAGCAGCTTATTCAGGCAGTGGAAAAGCTGGGCTTTGCTGATTTGCCTCCGCGGTATATGTAGGCATCCCAGTCTTTGGTGACAAATGTAATTTTTGGTGACAGATCACTGAAAAGTGTCTCTGGATGAAGGCTTTTGGAGTGTGTTATTAGCTTGTTTGTTTGTGCTTGCTAGTGTTCAGTGGGGGTCTGATTAAATACCATGCTAGCTGGCTATTTATGTATGGAGATTTCTCTTTATAATGCATTAGAGGCAGAAGTATTAAAATTATCCAGTGGACCATATTGGAAAGATTTAAATGCCTAAATGTGATGGTGTAACATGCTAAATTGTAGCCTTTCTAGATCTTCAAATGCCTAAATATGAAGTCTTTGCTGACCTGCAGCTGGTCAGCTCATCCCTGACTGCAGTCTAATCCCCATGTTACAGATAAGGTTAAGCCTGCCTCCTTTGAAGGGCATTTCACCTTTTCATAACTAGCTATGAAAAATACAAATATGAGTGATAGGAGTGAGCGGCCGTGGGTACATGCGAGCTGGAGGATGACTTTGTGAGGTGCTGATGTCCATCTTCCCGTGGCAACTTCACTCTGAGTCTCTGGAGGAGACCTTCCTCCTGCAGCTTACAGATAACTGTCTGCTTGCATGTTTCAGTGTGTTTTCCTATTGTGGTAAATATTTACCAGGCTTATAGTATGGCTTTAAAGTTTACCACCTTGGGTTTTTACCTTCACATTTTGGAAGGTAGTTTCAGAGCAACTCTAGCGGTGTTGCCTGAATCTCAGCTGATACAAAATGTGCAAGAATTCTGTTTGCTGCCTTAACCTGAGGTCAATAGCCAGATTTTCATGAAAATGTGTGTCTATATGTATATAAATATGTATGTGGGTGGAGTTTGTATGTATGGGTATCTAGCTTTATGTTTAAAGTCCAGATGTAAGCAAGCTTGTTCAAAGACAACCATGAGAAATCCCAGACCATTTTATATCAAGGAAAGACTTCAGCCAAACTGTTCCCCTCATCACAGAGGGATTTTTTGCTACCTGTAGTGGCAGACATCTGTGTGCTACGGGGAGGTAAGTACAGATAAGTGCAAGGCAGCCAGAGCATACCATGGCTGGTGTGTCTCAGAAATGTCCTGCATGGAGCCTGCAGCACGGTACATGTGCTACTATGAAGGAATATTTTTTGGAGAGGTAGGTTCCATCGCCAATCCCTGCACCTGCTGGGCAAGGGGCTTTCTGCCTGGTTGGGGTGTGAGGTCATCCCTGATCCCCAGAGCTGCCAGCTCTTATTTCCAAGAATGAAGCAGCCTACATGCAAAGGTGACCTTGGAAGTGCACTTTCTGGAGTTAATTCCTGATTTTTTTTAGCATTCTTCAAGGAAGTAGTAAAACCAAGCAGCATTCCAGCTGTTCCTGTGTTTCTGCAGATTACAGATATTATTCTATTATGCGTATTTGAACATTGACTTAATTTTTAATTAGGCTCCTGTGCCTAATTGCTCGGGAAATACACCTCCTAGTAAAAAATGTTGCTCCTTACTACTTATAAAAAGTTAAATACCTCATCACAAAACACGTTGCGTTCTATAAATGCCTATGTTATAGCTCATTACACTTATATTTTTAAGTCATTTTAAATAATGTGGCTTTCTTTTTAAAGCTGAACAAAATAAAGTATTTGCTTTAAAAGGAAAAATGAAATCATGGAAAATAACAATTTATTACTCCAGCTCTGACAGTCTAGATATCAATTTTATTCTGTTCTGCTAGTATTGCGATGGCGTTAAAAGTTGCCTTCTCCTCCCAAAACAACAAATGAGTTTTGATTTCTCTTCATTAAATGCATCATTAATTCCTCCTCCTAGTTTTTGTTTGTTTTCCCTTCCATACTCTCTTGTTCCTGTAAATTTAATTCAGGCGGTGCATCCATCACATTCTTGTAATTAGTACTTGGAAATGCGAGGTCTTCCAAGCATTATCACTCCTGTACGAGTGCTGGGAGACAGACAGGTCCATTTGCCTCAGGACTTTGCACTGATTTTTCAAATTTCAATCTGGAACTTGAATTTGGACAGAGCAGCATGGCCCTGGGTGCTTTTTCAAAGTTCAAGCCACAAACCAAGCAATTTCCTACTTCTATCAGGCCTTCAGTTTCCAGTTTGATTCTCTCTTCAGCAATGGAAATAAATACAGCATCGTGAGGACTCGTTTTAGAAGAGCTACTGCTTTGCTCTGATTTTTCAGGTTAAGTGGGACCCAGGACTGAAACGTGTTTAGCCCCTTGGATTTCCAGCCTTTAAAGAAACCGGGTGCCTGTCAATTTGCTGCATGGCAAACTGGAGCCTGGACTGAAGATGCAGGGGATTCTCCCTGGGGCTTTGCAACCTCTGAGAATTTTCATTGAAACTATTACAGAAATTATTATCCCCTACTTTGTGTTGGTGAGGGCATGCCCAGCTGTAAAACGGGTGGCAGTGGAAGTAGCCATGTGTTTGTGTCCCATACCTGAAAGCTAAAGGTCTTTGAGTCTTTTTCTTTTAATTTAATTTAATGTAATTTAATAAGAAACAACCCCACGCTTGGCTTTTTCTGGTCTTTTTTGAATTCCCCTGGCCCGTCACGTAGCTGGAAGAAGCCACATTTTCTTTTGGCCAATACACCCTGAATAGTATGTTGAGATTGAACTGGCCTTTTTTATGAGACGTGATATTAATACACCATAGTTGGGAAATCCCTTACTGCTCTACATGGGAACATTCCTGGTGCAAGCCTGTGAGCTTGCAGAGCCTTTTTTTATTCTTTCACCAATTTTGGATGGCTTTCTGCCTTAGGGTATTGGCACTAAATACTCTCCCACATACAGTTATTTCTACAAGTGAATCAATAGGTGGCAGCGTAGCGAGGAATACAGCTCTGCGTATTGAGGCCACCACATGGCCATTTATTC